GAATTTCACATCCCTGCTGTCAAACAACACACCCTTGGATGGTTCCCACAGCAGCCATCCCTTGCTCTCAGCAGCCAGCCCCAAATGCACACACCAGATTGCACTCGCCCCCAACTTACTGCGGTAGGTCTTGGGGACGTGGGCGACTGCCATGCAGCCAAACACCCTCAGCATATCCACCGGCGGCTTCCTCCCAAGCCACCTCTCCAACGGCACCCACGAGTCATCCCCAACCTTGGTGAGCACCCTGTTCCTAGCGACAGTGGCGTGCCGGACAGCATGAGGCCACATAGAATTGCTCAGCCCAGATTCTATGAGCAGCGCCCTAGCTGTCTCCAGAATGGTCCGGTTTGCCCGTTCTGCTACACCATTGGACTGTGGGGTATAAGCCGTGGTCAGCTCTCTCTGGATGCCCTGCTTCTTGAGCCAGGCCGTCATTTCAGCTCCAAGGAACTCACCACCCCGGTCTGTCCTAATCCGCTTCACTACACACTCCGCCTGCTTCTCCACGAATGGCAGCCAATCGTCCCGTATCGTGGAGGCGGCGTGGTCCTTCTGCTTCAGCGGATACGCCCACATCAGCCTGCTCCAGTCATCCACAATTGTAAGAAAATACCGCTCCCCCTTGTGCCCTTGCACCGGCAGCGGCCCCACCAAGTCCATGTGGACCAGCTCCAAAGGCTTCTTGCTCCTGCCAGCCACACTATGGAAAGGGAAACGGGTGAACTTTGAAAGCAAACAGATTTCACAGTTGTCATCGGGTGGCTGTCCGTTCAGCTTCAGACCCTTAACGGCTCCATCCTTCTCCAGCTGCTTCAGCAAAGGCATTGCCACATGCCCTAAGCGCCGGTGTGCCGTTGCCCAATCTGTCTCCCCAGATCTGGCCGACACTTTCACACCAACCCCTCCAACGGCATTGCACTCCCCCTGGGATGCAGACCCCTCTCCAGCCTGCCCCCCACCATGCCACGCCAGGGCCGGCAGCTGCCACATAGATCTGTACACGTCCTTGCTCTCGTGCAGATCCCAAAGCACCCGATTGCCCAGCTTCCCCTTATAAGTGCGTGCCCCATCCGTGTTGGTGTTCACCCCAGCCTTGCCAAGCTTACGGAGGGAGATAAGGTTGGCCTTCAGGTCGGGGACGAAGAGAACGTCGTGCAGCACCACCGGCTTGCCATCCGCTCCCTTAAACGCAGCTCGTCCCGCACCAGCCACCTTCAACATGTGTCCAGAGGCGGAGCACACTTCATTGATCGGTGCAGCTCGTACTTCGTCCAGCAGGTCCTTGCGCGGCGTCATCGTCCAAGCAGCGCCTGTGTCCAACACCCAATAGTCTAGGGGGTGCAGCTCTGCTCCAACTTTGGCAGAGGCGTCTCCTTGCTCCCCCTTGTCTCCCACATGGAAGAATTGGCCCGCGGTGCGCTCCTTCTTCTTCTCCGCACCGCCGTTGCCCTTCGGGTTGTTGTCGGACGAATCAGCGACCATGTTGGCGCCGTTTTTCTGGTTCCTCCGCGCGCCGCCATCCTGGTGACGATTCTGGGGGGTCCATCCATCGGGTTTCTTATAGCACAAAAACCAGGGGTGCCCTTCCTTCTCACAATACCAGCAACTCCCTTTCATTTTGCCACCAGCACCCGACTTGCCCCCACGTCCAGATTTCGCACCGCGACCCCAACCGGTACCTCCTTGTTGGTCGTTGGAGTCGTCGTCTTTCTTTGCACCGTGTCCAGCACCACCGAAGCCACGTCCTCTGCCACGTCGGCTCCCTTGCATCCCGTAGCCGCTGCTGCCGTCGTCTCCACCCCTCAGTTGGCGGCGACGGAAGTCCTCCTCCAGAATCTTCGTCCGCACCCACTCGAGCGTCCACAAGCTCTGGTTCTGCGGCAGGCTCAATCCGCTCGTAAATTGAAGCCACGATTCTGGCAGCAGTGAGAGCATCTTCAAGCACTTGGTCTGCTCCGGGTAGGTGATTCCCGCGGTCGCCAACTTCGCGTAGAGGTCGCGCATCTTGTCCAGGACTGGTTGCACTGGCTCTCCCTCGCTCAGGCGCAACGCGGACAGCTCCCTCTCCAGCATCAACGTTGCGACAACGGAGGTCGGGGCGTGCAGCTCCTTCAACACGGTCCACGCCTTCGGACCGCATTCAACCTCCGGCAGCAGGTGCATGACGTGGTGACGCTGGTTCAGCTCCAAACTCTGCGACATCAAATAGTAGCCAGCCGAGGAGCGCTCGTCCCAATCTTCCTGCAGCGTGGGGTCACTCGGTCTAGGCTCCTCCCCAATCATTAGTTTCAGCAAACCGATCTGACGGAAATATAATTGCATTTTCCAGGCCCAATCATCATAGCCCTCACCATTGAACTTCTCGACGGTGAAATTCTTCAGCACCTCCTTGACAAGCGAGCCCTGGTTTGTTCGCGCTCCCCTTGGCGCTGAAAGACCAGAATCTTGGCTGCCGCTACGATCTTGGGCTGAAGATTCACCAGCTCCCGCCGAGGTGTTGCCCGCCATAGCTACCTATAACGAGGATCACTATAACGCAGCTCTGATACCAGCTTGTTGGTGTAAGGGCCTAATAAACTCAAGCTATTAGGACTTAATCAAACTTAAAACCTCTCCTCGGGGTCACCTCCAAGGGTCCCTGGGTGCCTGGTACAAGACCAGCCCCTATCCTCGGGTCCGAGTTTGTAGAGAGAGGGATCAAGAAGGACTTAGTCAAAACAGCAAGAGTACCTTGAACGTCGCGCAGCGTGCCGTGCAGACCGTCGATCGGATTAAGCTGAGAATTCGCTATATCGAAGCTCGCTCCAAGAGCTTAAAAATGAGCCAAGTTGCCTCGCGAAAAGTTCTGCCATTACTAAGTTATGGCTCGGACAGCGTTTGCCTAGCGTTGGAGTGCTAGCATACTAGCGTTGACTCGGGTAGCATTCCGCCGTCGAATAGCGCAGAAACGAAATTCCAGCGAGGAAGGAATTCGCTTGAATCAATTTGACTATATTCAGGTACAAACAGAGAAGGATTAAATAGTTCTAGCTAGCAAGGACCTTGGGAATCAACCTGGGAACAACGAGGGATGATCCCAAATAATTCCAAGCAACAGAACCAACCTGGCTGGACAAAATAGCAGGTGGTAGGTTGGTAAACAACCTCTGGTTCTGTTTTTCCAACCTGGGAAAACAACAACCAGGTTCAGGTTCTAAAAACAGAACCTGTTTTGTCTTTGCCCAACCAGCCAAATGCTGGTTCCGCTGGTTTCCCCTGGCCTTGTAGCATGCAGATACAGACAAACAACATCCAACCTTCACCTAAATTGTACCCCTATAGTGCCTTCCCTGCTACACTATAGTTAACCAAACAAAACAGTACAATTTCGAGTTGGATAGAACTGAATCTGCGCAATCAACTCAACCGAACTGCAAAGCTTCCATCTTGGGTTCCTTTGCGAGCTCGTCTTTTCTGCTTGCACTGTTCATAGCGCATACAATGTTGTGCCGAAGCGCACATTGCGCGAGTACCTGCAAATGCATCAAGCGAAAAAATGCGAAAGCAAACAAACACACGAACACACCATTCACACACAAATGCATTCGCACACGCATACTCGTACAAACAGACGGCAGGATGTCGTGCAATGTGCATTTGCACCCAACAGGTCCTTGCTAGCTAGAACTATTTATTCCTTCTCTGTTTGTACCTGGACAATAGTGAATTTGATTCAAGCAAATTCCTTCCTTGCTTGAATTTCGTTGCTACGCGGTTCAATGGCGGAATGCTACCCGAGCCAGCGCTAATATGCTAGCTCTCCGACGCTAGGCAAACGCTGTCCGAGCCATAACCCCAGAATGGCAGAACTTTTCGCGAGGCAACTTGGCTTAGTTTAAAGCTCTTGGAGAGAGCTTCGATATAGAAAATTCTCAGCTTAATCCGATCGAAGATCTTCACGGCACGCTGCACGACGTTCAAGGTAATCTTGTTCACGCTGCCCGGGAAGCCGCAGACAAGAAAATCTCCGACTACAATGGTTCGCGGCCTCATGGGTCGGATTCTTCCCCCTGGCCATCGAGACTTACGGTTGCCCATGCGCGGAAGTCTCTACATTCTTCAAACTCCTTGCCGACACCGCTGCCCGCAGGCAGTTAAGCTGCCCCCTCCTTTTACCAGGCCACGAAGCTGCTGCATCAGTTCCGTCAGCGTTGGTCCGTGGCGTTGCAACATGCTCAGTCTGTGAGCTATATGACCAAATGCAATTTCGCGGCACAGGTGGAAAACTTACCTGTGGGGATGCCGGGTGAGGGCATGTCCCTTAGGGATTGCTTTGCAATCCTTGAGCCGGCATTGGAGCTCCCTTAGACGGAGTGGTAGAGTGAGGGGGGTAAAGGGGCAGGCTAGTATCTGAGATGTATGTCCCATGTGCCATATCGTTCGGTGCATGTCTGTACTTCTCTGGTTGTTAATACATGGACCGCGCGTGAGGGACGACAAGAACAAAGCTTTGAGTACAACTAGCACGACAACGATTACATCAATGACAAGCACGTGCATCTAGACAAGCATACATGGAGCGGGTCTACACGTGCGCGAGGGGCGCGCCTACATGTGGTCCGCCTCAAGCCCACCTAGCATTTTACGCATGGTCAACCACATCAAGTGGACCACTGACGCGGTGGCGCCGACATCGTCAACAGAAGTTCCGCGATCTGCTACAAGCGTCTTCAGATCCAAGGCCTTCTCAGCCAGCAGGGTGGCCGAGACTACTCCCGGCGAGGGCGCAACCTGCGGTGGCGATACGTACGCGAATAATGCTGACGCCGCTGCGTAACACTTTGCTCGCGGCATCTAAGAGAACATGCTCGGTGGGGTCACCGACATGGAGCTATACGACTCCAGGAGAATCAGCTTAAGACTCTGCAGGCACTCTGCCAGCGACCACAAGTGCGCCAGGGTCGCCGTGGGCACTTCCTTCCTTAGCGGCAGCATTGCAGATGCACGAGCTCGGCGAGATGACACCGCAAAATCACGCGGAGGAGGGGCAGGACGCGGCGGAACGTACGGGGCCCATGGGTCCCTACCACCCGCACCCACGAAGCCAGAACCCGCAGGCTGAGGACTACCAGAATGCACAAGTGATCCCACTGGGTTGTGCGGCAGGAGAGCAGCAAGGGGAGCGACAGGGGCGTCTGGATGCGCGGTTTGAGACGACGACTCCGCCTTCGTACGGTGGAGTGCCTTTTCCACACCGTCCAGCCTCTAGAGGACGCGCTCCATTGCGGACGGCACCTGACACACCGTTCCGCCATGACCGTAGCCTCCCTGCCGCCCACGTCGCCCACGACCACCTGCATTCAAGCGCATGTGCGATGGCTGGCGAGACGGGATGCGCTGGCGCTGGTGGTCAGGAGACCGACCCCCACGACGTGGAGAGTAGAGCCGCTGGCGCTTTGATAGCCGCAGCCAACGCACGGACGGGGAATGATGGCGAGAGGCGATCGGAGACGTGCCGAATGGCGAGCGGAAGATTGGTGACGACGCGTCTGGCGATCTCGGGACTGGCTTCGCGACACCACGTGGTGGGGCGAACGTGGCGAGCAGGGCGACCGCGGCGGACGAGGCAACCGAGACTTTTTACGATGATCCTCGTGGTGGCTCGCCCTCCCTTCCTCGCGTGTCACCAACGAACGGCGCCGAGGCGAACGCCCCCGGTGCGTCGCACCTTCCACGTTGGAGCGCACGCCGGGCCCCTCGCGCGCCTGATCATTACGAGGCGAGGCCCGCGCCAGTTCGCGCCGCTGATCTTCGATGCGGCGGCGTATCTGATCAGCCATTCCCAATGGAACAACAGGGAGACTCGCGGCAGGGCGCGGAGGAGGAAGCGGGCGGGGAGCAGGTTCGCTGTCCGCGGTACACTCGTGGACTGGAGGGGCGGACGGATCGATCGGGGCGGCGGGTGGATGCCTCGCTCAACGTTGTCGGATGGCGCCCTGCAGTGAGCCCCGCTGGACGAGGAGGGAGAGCAGCAGGCCGCGGAGGGAGAGCAGCAGGCCGCGGACCGGAGAATGTGTACCAGCAGGCGGGGAGATGGGCTTTAACGAATATGATTGGAGATTCTGACAGCAGCACATCGGACAGCGACTTTGTACTTGCTGAGTCCACAGACTCGACCTCTAGCTCTGAGTCTGTCGACGACGCACAACTGTAGACTCCAGCTCGAGCAGACGGGACAACACCTTCCTACACTGCGGTAGGCTCAACGGTTGTGAGATCCGCAAGGAGGGAACCCCCAACACCAACTCGCGCCACGTTGGGCAATGTTGCCACGCCACCACCCCCAACCACAATTCCCCACATTCCGACCCCCACGCGAACCGCCCATCCATCTGTAGCTGACGGTAACCCCACCCCAACCCAACCCCCAAAAGAAAAATCCCCCGAAACTCTCGCCAAGGACGACACCCTATCTGCTGGATTTGAGACTTGGGACCTGTCAAAACTGCGTAACAGTCGCCACGCCTCGCTTTCCCGCCAGCTCCCCCGCGACCAACAAAAACTCTCCACCACTGCCATGCTGGTGCCACTGTTGTGCTTGGCGAAGGATTTTGACTAAAGAAAGAAAGAAAGAAAGAAAAGGAAGCACACCTAAAAAAAAAAAAAAGTGCTAACGAAACAAAGCACTAAACTCTTTTATCATGCATGGGTGGTCCTCCTTTTCCTCGCACACCTTACACTTCGCCAACCCTCGCCAAGGCGACCTGATTGGCTCACGGTCACATCGCGACTTACCCAATTTCTGTCGGGAGAATGGGATAAGCTGTATTTAGACACCGTGGACTCGTTATCGTGGCCCCAGCCACCCAGACACCAACCAGATGACATCGGCGTCATTGCACGAGCCGAGGGGTTAGCAAAACGCGGCAGCTTGCGACGGGTGGTGATGGCTCTTGAAGCCACACCAGTCTGCACTCCGTCTCCAATCGTGTTGGAGGTACTGCGCTCCAAGCACCCTCCCGCGCCAGCCTCTCAACCGGACTGGACATTCCCGGCACTCGATCCCCACCTTTCTGCATCTTTCGATATCTTCTCCAAGGTGTTGGGGCGCTGTGAGATGGTAGTTGGGCCGGGCCCCTTTGGAACAACGTTTGAGCACTTACAGGATTCTGTGCTGATCAACGCCTCGGTGGGAAAACACCTGCATGCACTCGTCAACACCATCCTAACGGAGAAACTGCCGCCTGCAGTAGCTGAACTCCTTACGGCTTCCCGCTTAATAGCACTCACCAAACCAGATGGAAGGACGCGGCTGATTGCAATTGGCGGAAGTCTCTTACGCCTCGCCGCTAAGACAACCCTCACCTTGACAGCCGGTACTGCGCGAGATTTTTTTCTGCCCCACCAGTTCGGCGTGGCTGTCCCGAGTGGTGCAGAGGCAATCACTCACATCACTCGCACTTACCTCACCATAAATCCGAGCACGCTGGTTCTGCAAGCGGATTTAGAGAACGCTTTCAACAGCGTCGATTGGGCGGCGCTCTTGCCGAAACACGGGTTCAGATGTCCGGTCCCTTTCAAAACACAGCATCGCTCTTCGACTGGTCGGAGAGGTGTGAGGAAGCATTGCCGGATGAAGGAAAGGAGCTGCTGCAGAGCAAGCGGGCTGAGCCAAAGGGCATCAATCTGCAGCATGGGCTGGCCAGGCGCAATCCAAGGGTTGCGCTACGCCGAGCAGGTCCAAGACACGCGCACGATGCAGCTCAATCCCCTCACTGGCCACACCTAGTGCATGCTTCCTTTATCGGGATACAGGGTAAAGGACGGGCTGCATGCGGCTCCCTTCAACTCTTCGCTACGCCTTCCTCCAGCCCACTTCGTGGCAGCTTCGGATGGGGTTTCCCTCCTCAGCCCCAGGCGTCTGTGACTGCAGCAATGAGGCTGCCCAACCACCTGCTCCGCTGCGACACACGGGGGGAGGCGGACTTATCCCCACAACGAACTGCGTGACGAGTGCGTATGAATGGGAGAAGACGCGGGCTTCATGACTCATTGCGAAACAACGGCGTTTTTCACGGTCACCAGGAAGAAAGCTGACATTGCCATACGGGACCACTCGTCCGGTGCTGTTTGGATCGGGGACGTGACAATCACAGACCCCATTAGCACCCGTGACCCATTTGCGATCAAAGGTAGGGGCTGGGCAGCCCGAGAAGCCGTAGACAAGAAAATTTATACTACGATGGTTTGACGGCCTCATGGGTCCGATTCTTCCCCTAGCCGTCGAGTCTTACGGATGCCCGTGCGCGGAAGTCTCCGCATTCCTCAAGCTCCTTGCCGACACCGCTGCCCGCAGGCACTTCAATGCTGCCCCTTCCTCTTTCCAATCCACTAAAACACTCTTCAATTTTGCCCAACTCTACCTCATGAGAACGAGGTGCTGTGTGCTCTCCCTACCTTCACCGCTGTGTTGCACACACAGACCCCTTCTCCTCATACAATTCGTTGCATATACTGTTGGGTGCAAATTCATATTGCACGACATCCTGCCGTCTGTTTGTACGAGTATGTGTGTGCGAATGCATTTGGGTGTGAATGGAATGTTCGTGTGTTTGTTTGCTTTCGCAATTTTCGCTTGATGCATTTGCAGGTACTCGCGCAATGTGCGCTTCGGCACAACATTGTACGCGCTATGAACAGTGCAAGCAGAAAGGACGAGCTCGCAAAGGAACCCAAGATGGAAGCTTTGCGGTTCGGTTCAATTGATTGCGCGGATTCAGTTCTATCCAACTCGAAATTGTACTGTTTTGCTTGGTTGACTATAGTGTAGCAGGGCAGGCACTATAGGGGTACAATTTAGGTCAAGGTTGGATGTTGTTTGTCTGTATCTGCATACTACAGGGCCAGGGGATATCAGCGGAACCAGCATTTGGCTGGTTGGGCAAAGACAAAACAGGTTCTGTTTTTAGAACCTGAACCTGGTTGTTGTTTTCCCAGGTTGGAAAAACAGAACCAGAGGTTGTTTACCAACCTTTGCTATTTTGTCCAGCCAGGTTGGTTTTGTTGCTTGGAATTATTTGGGATCATCTCTGGTTGTTCCCAGGTTGATTCCCAAGGTCTTTGCTAGCTATAACTATATATTCCTTCTCGGTGTGTACGTGAATATAGTCAATTGATTCAAGCGAATTCCTTCCTCGCTGGAGTTTCGTTTCTGCGCTATTCGACGGCGAAATGCTACCCGAGTCAACGCTAGTATGCTAGCACTCCAACACTAGGCAAACGCTGTCCGAGCCATAACTCCGTAATGGCAGAACTTTTCGTGAGGCAACTTGGCTTATTTTAAAGCTCTTGGAGCGAGCTTCGATATAGTGAATTCTCAGCTTAATCCGATCGACGATCTGCACGGCACGCTGCGCGACGTTCAAGGTACTCTCGTTATTTTGGCTAAGTCATTCTTAACTCCTCTCTCTACAAACTCGGACCCGAGGATAGGGACTGGTCTTGTACCAGGCACCCAGGGACCCTTGGAGGTGACCCCGAGGAGAGGTTTTAAGATTGATTAAGTCTTTGTAGCCTGAGTTTATTAGGCCCTCACACCAACAAGCTGGTATCAGAGCTGCGTTATAGTGATCCTTGTTATAGGTAGCTATGGCGGGCAACACCTCGGCGGGAGCTGGTGAATCTTCAGCCCAAGATCGTAGCGGCAACCAAGATTCTGGTGTTTCGATGCCGAGGGGAGCGCGAACCAACCAGAGCTCGCTGATCAAGGAGGTGCTGAAGAATTTCACCGTCGAGAAGTTCAATGGTGAGGGCTATGATGATTGGGCCTGGAAAATGCAGCTTTACTTCCGTCAGATTGGATTGCTGAAACTAATGATTGGGGAAGAGCCTAGACCGAGTGACCCCGCGCTGCAGGAAGATTGGGACGAGCGCGCCTCGGCTGGCTACTACTTGATGTCGCAGAGTTTGGAGCTGAACCAGCGTCACCACGTCATGCACCTGCTGCCGGAGGTTGGTTGCGGTCCAAAGATGTGGACCGTGCTGAAGGAGCTGCACGCTCCTACCTCCGTTGCCGCGACACTCATGATGGAGAGGGAGCTGTCCGCGTTGCGATTGAGCGAGGGAGAGCCGGTGCAACCAGTCCTGGACAAGATGCGCGACCTCTACGCGAAGTTGGCGACCGCGGGAATCACCTACCCGGAGCAGACCAAGTGCCTGAAGATGCTCTTGCTGCTGCCGGAATCGTGGCTTCAATTCACGAGCGGATTGAGCCTGCCGCAGAACCAGAGCTCGTGGACGCTCGAGTGGGTGCGGACGAAGATTCTGGAGGAGGACTTCCGTCGCCGCCAACTGAGGGGTGGAGACGACGGCAGCAGCGGCTACGGGATGCAAGGGAACCGACGTGGCAGAGGACGTGGCTTCGGTGGTGCTGGGCGCGGTGCAAAGAAGGACGACGACTCCAACGACCAACAAGGAGGTACCGGTTGGGGTCGCGGTGCGAAATCTGAACGTGGGGGCAAGTCTGGTATGCTGGTGGCAAAATGAAAGGGAGTTGCTGGTATTGTGAGAAGGAAGGGCACCCCTGGTTTTTGTGCTATAAGAAACCCGATGGATGGACCCCCCAGAATCGTCAACAGGATGGCGGCGCGCGGAGGAACCAGAAAAATGGCGCGAACATGGTCGCTGATTCGTTCGACAAACAACCAGAAAGACAAACAAAGGAACCAGAGCAAGGGGGCAGCATTATCGCTGGTACGAGGGACAGGTTCAGCTGCAAACAAAGGATGGCTGGAAGCGTGTGCCAGAGCCAGCTGAGCGAGAAGAGATCATCAAGGAGGTGCATGAAAAGCTGGGACATTATGGCCCTTTGCGAACACTGCAGCTGCTACAAACAGGCTGGTGGTGGGCAAGGATGCGAAAGGAAGTAAAGGAGTGGGTGGAGAAATGCGAGCTGTGCTGCCGCAACAAGGCGACGTTGCTAAAAAGCCAGGCTGAGCTGCAACCT